TGGTGGGTCTGGTCAAACGCACGTGCATGTCCCATTAAAAAGGGGTAGCCACTGCCCAGCGCCAGCTGTCTGGGACGAGGGAGAAGGGCCATCCCAGCATTGTTAGCTCTTTCCAAATTTTCACAAAAAGGTGGAATTCCAGATTCTTAGTTGAAATCTCCTTTTTCAAAAATCCTTTAAAAAAATCTAATTTTAAAAATGTTGGCAACTAATTTTTAAAAATGTAAACATTATGCTGGCCAAACAAAACACCTCCATGGACCAAGCCTGGCTCATGAGTGCCCTGTCTTTTACGTCTGTTACGCTGTATTACTTTCCATATAGGAAGGTCATTTAGATAGAAAATGGGAGCTTTTCATTATGAATAGTTTGGTGTTTTTTTTTTCTTTAAGCATTAAGGACTTTACCCTTAAAAGGCTTAGAGCACATATTGGGCATCATCCCCAACGTCCAGCACAGCACTTTGCACATAGTCAGCATCTTATGGTGCTGAATGAATGAATGAATGAAAGAATGGAGGTAGACAAATTTCTTACCTTCTTCCTTCCCCTCTGTGGACTCTTCTTCCTGATCTTCTTCAATAAACTCTTCTTCTTCCTCATCTGTGTGTGACAAAGAACAATAGTGTTAGGATGGGCATGTTTCTCAGAGGAGCTGCTCAAAGGGGAACCAGACCGGAGACAGCAGTGATCCAAGTCCTCCAATGGCCAGTCAGACTCTACAGGCCATGCAGTGACATCACTGGCCCAGGAGGCGATGGGCTTGTCAAACCCAAGCTGCACAGAGGTGGGCTTTCTCCTTTCTCAGCTCTCCCTTTCCTTCCACCACACCCTCCAGAGGAGAGAGGTTCAAGAGGCTCTTTTTGTTCCAGTAGCAGCAGTAGTTTCTATCACCTGATCTGCCTGTGACCAGAGGGGACTTTGGGAGGCACACTATCTCTCAATAGACAGATGAACATCACCTGTGGAGGTGGGACAAGAAACGCCTTGATTCTCAGGGATCAGAGTCCTGTCTTGAAGGAATTTGCCCAGCCTTTGACATTTGCTTGCCTAGCCCTTCCTGTCCACTTGTCCTCTTTCCTCAGCCCACAGAGGGGTGGGGAGCACTTCTGGGGCCACCTTCTCCTTAGCTCTCTGAAGCTGAGCCCCAGAGACAGACCATGATGGGGAGATGCAACCTGTGTCCTCACTTCACCTCCTGGGATACCAACTTCAGGCTCTAACAGGGAAGATGACTGTCACCCACCCCCTCTCCCAAGATGCTTCCTTAATCCTTTGCGGCCCTGAGGGAGTCACCACAGAGTCCAGTGTCTGGGGAGAGGCTTGAAAGAATTCATGCCTCCAAAATGATAGTCCAAATTCCAGTCACCTAGCTGGGATCCATGCATAACTCAGGAAATTTTGTTGCTGTTGTTTAATCGTTATCACAATTAACTACTCATAGCAGCATTTGCTGAGGACTCATTATGTGCCAAGTGTTGTGCTAAGCACCAGACACACATTGTCTCATAAAATCCTCACAAGGGTCTTGTGAGCCAGATGGCCTCCCGGTGGCATCTGCGTGGCCTCCCGCAGACCTCTCACTCTCCCTTGGCTTTATTTCCCCAAGTACACAATGAACATGACAACAGAAACCACCTCTTGCAGTTGTATTAAATGATGGAATTTATGTCAAGTGTTTAGTGCCTGGGGCATAAAAAGTGCTCAATAAATGGTAGCTGTTAGTTCTCTCGCCATTTCCCTATGAGGAAACTGAGGCAGAAGGAGATTATGGGAGGCAGTGCAGGTCTTTACAACATCACACTGTTCACACAGTCTGATCCACTCTAGACTACCTTAGCTTTGGAAGGGTNGAGTGTCCAGGGTCTCAGGAAAGAGGGGTGGCAGGAGAGTAGGTTTGATGGCCTCAGTCTGGAGAGGAGATGATGTTCAGAGCCCTGAGACAAGACCTAGTGAGTAGTGAGGGGAAAAGAAGCTAACCTTGGGAAGGGGAGGAAGTAAGAGGGCAAAGAAGAGGGAGACCAGTCAGGGAAAGAGAAGGGGGCCTAGAAGACAAGGAGCTGGGGAATTTCAAGGACAGGGTGGTCCCCCTCAAAGATTAATGGCTAGTGTTCGCTGAGCACTTACTATGTGCCAGACACTGTGCTAAGTACTTTGTGTGCATCATTTCATTTCATCATCTCAACAACGTAAGAACTACAGAGGGTGCGAAAAGAATGGATACACATTTTAAGAAAGGAAAATTGTATCAAAATTGTAATACTCAATATATACCAATAACAAAAGATGAACACAAGTCATGTTTAACTTCTGCAATTACAAGAGGTGCTCAAAGTGGTTACCATCAGCGTCCAGACACTTCTGATTACGGCGAACTACTGCTTGAACAACGTTGACCAAAGCGTTCACTTGTATACATTTTTTTGGGAATCCCTGGTATTATTATATATCCCTGAAAAGGGTTCCTTGAACCCAATTCCAACATAAGGGACATAGGGCTCCCCGCACACCAACAAACAATTCTCAGACACCAGCAGGGTGTCCAAAAATTCAACTCAATTCTGATGCTATCTACCCAGGTGATAGCATCAGATTCCACAGGTAAAGGGCTCAGTCCCACAAGACCGCCCTCTACTTCAGACACCAGCCAAAAGCCCAGGCTCTTCTTAACTGTGCTTCTGACCACCTGGCTATAGAGTGGAGGTTCCCATGACCCCCTCTTCTCGGGTTCTATTGATTTGCTAGAATGGCTCACAGAACTCAGAGAAATATTTTACTTAATAGATCAAGGACTTATTATAAAAGGATATAATTCAGGAGCAACCAGATGGAAAAAATGCACAGGACAAGGTACATGGGAAGGGGCACCATTCTCTGAGGACCTCCATGTGGTCACCAGCCCAGAAGCTCTCCAAACCACAGCCTCTTGAGTTTTTGCAGAGGCTTCATTACCTAGGCATGGTTGATTAAATCATTGGCCATTGGTGATTGATTCAACCTCCAGCCCCTCTTCCCTTCCCAGAATCAGGGGAAGATGGGACTGAAATTTCCAACCTTCTAATCACATGGTTGGTTTTCCTGGCAGCCAGCCCCCCTCCTTGAGTGCTCTCAGTCACCTCAATCACATAACAAAAGACACCTTCATCACTCTCACCACCTAGGAAATTACAAGGGTTTAGGGAGCAGCGAGCCAGAAATGGGTGAAGACCAAATACATATTTCTCATTATAAATCATAGTATCACAATCCTCATTCCACAGATGAGGAAACTCAGGCACAGAGAGATAAAATAACTTGTATGAGGTCACACAGCTTGCAAAAAGTGGCTCTAGGACAGGAGCCCAGACATGCTTGATTCAGGAGCCCAAGCTCCTCACGTCTCTACTGCACTATATAGGTCAACAATGCCAGGCCAGTCAGGAGCTGCAGGAAGAGGAACATCCAAGAGGCTCTCCCTCGTCCCTGCTCACATGACCTCAGTTTTGTTCAGGCAGCATTGTTCTCCAGGAAGGTGGGCCTCTCCACTGCCACCAGAGACAAAGGCTTACGCCTGTCATGATAATCCCATTCTCCTTTAAAAGATTTCCTCCCTAATAAAAAGTCAAGCACAAGAAGAAAGCTTCATTCTTGCCTTTGAATGGGGTTGTATGCATCATTTCATCTTGCAACCAAGAGAGGACAAGTCTCGGGAGAAATCTGCTCACAGAGGAACTGAAGAAAGCACTGGGGTCCTTGGCGCCATCGTTGTGCTGCCAGGTTACCCACCCCTGGAACTGCCTACCTCTTCACTATTTAAGATGCGACATAACACATGTCGTCATAGTGTAATTATCCTGTCACCTGCAGCAGAGAGCACTCTATATACATTCGTGAGTCCAACTCCTTCCTGCTTACGATCCTCAAATGTCTAATTCCAGTTCAGGCCGCTCTCTCCCTTACACTGAAGACTTGTTGGAGATGTTTACTGGGATGTTCCAACAGCACCTCAGACGCATCCTACCCCAAACAGAACACACCATCTCCCCCCACACCGAGCTCCTTCCCTTTTCCTTGTTTCACGTCTCAGTGAACAGCACCAGCATCCGCCCATTTGCGCAGACCAGAAAGTGAGAGCCATTCTTGGGCTCCCACTGCACACCCAGTAAACCTCAGCAGGGAGTACAGATCCATCTTTACGTCTCGCTTGTCATTCTCCCATCTGTGAGTCTGACTGTGTCCCTGAACTTTGAAGGCTTTAAGGACAAAGACTCTCTCTCTTCATGTCTGTACCTCCAGTGCCTGGCACATGGTAGGCACTTAACAGATGTTTCTTAAATGAGTGCACAAGGGAACAGCAGGGTCACTGTCAGGCTTGGGGAGAGCAACGTACTTGACTAAGTTTTGGGGGTTTTTTTGGCTGAGATGGTGCAACCAGTGAAGAGAAAGTGCCGGAAGATTGGGGGGCAGGTGATAAGAGTAAATTCTAAAGCCTTGGGAAGGACAGGGACACGCCAACTTTTGAGATGGGAGGAGAGCAGTGAGGAAAAGATGAAAGTAAGAATCAGGAGTGTTGGGAGGCTGAGAGAAAGGTGTTCCTATTGGTGACCTCCGTCAAGACAGTCAAGGTCAACCACTAAGGCTGAGGCTGGGCAAGGGTAGCATGAATGGGTGGTGGGGAAAGTTTGGACCTGCCCCTGTGACACACAGGAGGAAGTGCCCTGGAACGGGGTGGAAGGGCTGTCTGGGAGCAGAAGAGCCTTGCTGATGTTTCCCAACATAGATTTGCCATTTGTGAGGAGCCATTCACATGGTTCTGTTGACTTTCTCCAGCCACACTTGGCAGTCCAGGTGCAAAAGCCAAGCAAATGGACAGTGGGACCAACTCCAGCCTGGGAGCTGGCAAGGCCAGCACTGCTGAAAGTCAAGGGGCGGGGAGTGGTAATTCCCACATGGGCCATGCTGGGCATCAAAACATGTCCTGTCATTTAATCCTCACAACAGCCCTGCAAGGGAGGTATTATGATCTTCATTTTTCCCAGGAGGAAGCGAGATTCAGAGAGTCAATGGCTTGGCCAAAGTTACACAGCCACAAGTGGCAGAGCCGAGCTAAGGTAGCCTGACTCCTAAACCTGTGCTCCTAACACTAAAGAATGTATTGGGTGCCTATTTGCATGCCAGGCACTGTGCTAAGAAGCCCTCTCCATCCATCCTCTTGTTCAGTCCTCAGAATAACTCAGTGCAGCAGGGGTCATGATTTCCCCTGGTTTGCAGCTGAGCTACAGAGGCTCAGAGAGGTTAAGTCACTTGACCAAAGTACCCCAGCCAGTGAGTGGCAGAGCCAGCATTAGAAGCAGGAGGTTATAAACCAGTATCATTACCAGTTACTGAACATACTATAAAGCTATGGACTGACAGATGAGGAGACTAACTTGGAATATCAATGTTGCATCTGAGCCCAGAGACTTTTTTTTTTTTTTTTAGCTGTGCCATCCTGCCACCTGTTGGCAGTTCAGCGGCAGCTCAGCTGGGGCCAGGCATCGAACCGCAGTTAACCAACTGAGCCACTCAGCCGGCCCCTGAGCCCAGAGCTTTTATTTATTTATTTATTTGTTTGTTTGTTTGTTTGTTTATTATTTATTTATTTAAAATTTTTTTTTAAAGATTTTTATTGGGGGATGGGAACAGCACTGGGGAATTGGAGGAAGGGGAATGGACAAGTTGCTGTCCTTTTGTTCTTCAGCCTAGTTGTGGAGGACCAGAGCTTTTAACTACTACACTTTACTGCTTCCCTCTCCGCAAGTTTCCTCATTTATACCTTTTACTGTTTGTTGATAATTTCAAACATATGAAAGTAGAGAGAATAGTATAATGAACTCATGTAACCAAACCCAGCTTTAATCCGTAACATGTCCCCAATCTTATTTCATCTATAACCCACCCTCTCCNTTGGCCCACCCTCTCCAAGCTGAGTCCTTCCACAGGGGTTTCCGTGGGTCGGGGCCCTGTGGCCCCAAGGCTGGCCTCTGATAGATGCACTATATATAGAAAGCACTTGGGATTGGCGACCTCCCTAGCAAATCACTCCATCATCCCCAATGCTGTTGGTCGTGGGGGACATGGCTTGGGAATGGCTCCTTACGGAAACAAAAGCTCACACCACTGGTGACAAGGAGGGACTCCTTGAATCTGTCCCCCAAACAAGAGTCATCTTGTTAGGAGACTAAGTGCAAGGAGTGATGGTGGCAGCAGCACACCTGCCTAGGTTTAGCTTTTCCACTTCTGGACTCTAAAGTATGGAAAACCTTGACCTCAGGCTCCTTGGTTTTCCTGCTATAGTCTAATGACCAACAGTCTCAGTACTACCTGGAGAAAGTGTTACCAACCAGGAGAGTGTCCCCCCACCCCCACCCCAAAGACTTTTAAGTTTTCTTTCCTATAGAAAGGTTAAGTATAGAAATGTTAGTCTCCTTTCTAGTTTCTTAGTCCCCGGCTGTGATTCCTCTTCTCACCAGTCTGTGACTCCTAGGCTAAAGATTGCTCCTAGCCTGAATCCTGGAATTCTCCTATCACCCAGCTTCTTAACTGCTTTGTAAATCAGTTTCTGAATCCTAAACAATAGAAGTCTCCTACCCCTGCTTCAGATAACTACTTGAAAGCCTGCGACTTCCTAATATCCCCCCAGGCCAGTAAGGTAAATGCCAAACCCATTCTGGGCCCAGACAACTGACGCCACCTGAGTAACTGGCTGAATGGCCATAGGCTTCATGAGAGTTAACAGATTTATTAATTAAAATCTATTTTTCCTCATTCAGGGACCTTGGGGATACAGAGGATACCCCAACAAGATTGCCAGTCACAACCAAAGAGGCCAACACAGTCTTCCATGCGGAGCTCGAGACCCCTTCCTCTCATCTGAGATCAGCTAGGGTGAGAGTTCTGTGAATCCCCCAATAGGCAGGGACAACTCTACACTCCTGACCAGCAGGAAGCAGATACAGAAGAAGAGACCTTCTGTCCCTCAGCTTCCCATAGAGATTTTATGGGGATCACGTCTCTCAATGGGAAAACTAGGTAGACAGTTAGAGGCAGGCATTGGGTCTCTGCATTCCTGCACGTCCCACAGAGTGCGACTGCCAAGGGGACATCCCCTCTATACCCAAAACTCCCCCTTTGTATTATAATTACCTACCCCTGCGGGAAAACAAATGGGTGCAAAATACCCAACTAGAGCAGACGACTCACTCGCACCTGCGCAGTACCTCTTGTCAATCACATGTACCAATCAAGTGGTCCCACGCCCTTAGGGAAACAGCCCATTCTAGAGAAGGGATAAAAACCCAAGTCCTGGGAAGTCCGCCNCCTTGAACCTTAGACAGAGCTGTGGCATTGAAGTGACTCTGCCCACATCCTCCCAATCCTGCTTACCAAGAGGAAGATGGCTCCACCAGGCTCGTCCAGAGACTGGATGGCTGTCTCCACCAGCTTAGTGGATTTGTCCAGTTGCTCCCGGTATTGCTGGATGAGGGCCTCGGTGAAGCTGAGTTTCTCCTCCTGCTCCCGCGTGACCCGCTGCAGCAACTCACTCTTCTTCTCATCCAGGATGGCATACAGCACATCAAACTTCTGACTCAGCTCCTCCTTCACCCGATGGCTGTTCTCCTGGGGACAGATATTGTGGGGTCACATCTTTTGGGGTCCTCCTCCCTATTCCCAACATTTCCTTCTTGGGATGGGTGTGCTAGAAACAAAGAATCTAAAGCTGGAAAAGGTCTCACAGCACCCCCATTTTACAGAAGATGAAATGAAGGCTTAGCACTTGCCATGGTTTCATACCTACTGACTACATGTTTGGAGTCTGGCATCATGGAGAAAGCAACCTTTTTTCTCAAAAATAGAGATTCTAGGGGCGGCCGGTTAGCTCAGTTGGTTAGAGCGCAGTGCTCATAACACCAAGGTTGCCGGTTCGATCCCCACATGGGCCATTGAGCTGCGCCCTCCACAACTAGACTGAAACAACTACTTGACTTGGAGCTGATGGGTCCTGGAAAAGCACACTGTTCCTCAATAAAAAATAAAAATTTAAAAAAATGACTTAAAAAGAAAAAGAGACTCTAGGGTCAAATGGGATGATATATATTCTGGGCCTCTTATGTGCCCCCGAGTCACACTCCTCCCCCCATCTTAGGATTAACACTGGATTCAAAAAGCTGTGCATCCTTTGGTCCTAGCAGAGGTGGAGAAGCAGCTCCCCTACTGGCCTCCTCATTGAGCCTCCCTTCTCTCCAACACAGATGCTACATTTTAGTTTCCTTACCTGTAAGATGTGTATAATTAGCATCTCATCAGACTGAGGGCTCTAGTTACCTCTATCAGTTTGGGAGCTCCTCATGGGTGGTAACAATGTCCCCCTCCTTCCTTGGAACCTATCTCCCATATAACTCTTTGTCCACCAGCAATATGATGATCCCATCCCCCCATCTCATCTCCAGGTCCCCACCCCCAAGTGGAGATAGAAAATCCTTTTGCAGAAATAGAAAAGTTTCCTTCTGCCTCTGCAGTCTTGCTACTTAAAGTGTGGTCTATGGACCAGCCACTTGGGCAAACCCCAAGAGCGTGTTAGAAATGCAGGCTCTCATGCCTCATTCCAGACCTACTGATTCAGAACTTGAATTTTAACAAGACCGAAAGGTGATTTGTATGCACTTTAAAGTCTGAAGCCTTGGTCTATAGCATACCAGAGAACAATGCTCTAAAAAACTACCAGTGAAAAAAAACAAAAACAAAACAAAACAACTGGGAATTATTGGTGGGACCCGTCCTGAGGTCAGGGACTGGATCTGCCTTGTTCACCATCCCATCCCCAGCACCTTTGGCAGGGCCTGACACACAGCTGTGCTGAAGAAGTATTTGCTGAATGAGTGGATTAATGGATTAGTCAGTCTCTCCCAACCATCCCTGCTTCAGGCCCCAACCTTTAGTCACAACCCATGGGTGAGCCTGCGCCCCAGAGACCAGGCTGCAGTGGGGGCTTCACACACCCCCACCCCCTCCCCTGGGCACAATTCTTCTGTCCCCTCACCTTAGTCACTCGACAGGAGTCCTCTAGCTGATTGATGATTGTCTGTACGCGGTCATTCCCAGCCACCAGCATGGAGATACAGTTACTCAGTTCAGTCTAGATGAGAGGAAGGGGTGGGGGATAAGGAGAAGAGAGACAGAAATAGCCTCAGGGCCTGCCCTTTCAGGAGTTGGCAGCAAAATGGCACCCTCACTCCCCTCTCTGCTAATACAGAGCCTCCAGTAGCTGTCTGGCCCCTTTCTCTGAGGTGCAGCTCAGGTCCAGAGCAGAGACTATCAGAGATACTGTTTCTCTTATTTTATGGATGAAGCACAGAGAGGGGAAGTGAGCTGCCCAAAATACACAGCAAGGTACTAGCATAGGAGAGGCTTGTTTCTAGGAAAGAAGAAAAGAAATAGAGTTGGGAGTTCTAAAAGAGAGAGAAATAAAGAGAAGATTGGGAGGAGGGTAAGAAAGACTATGGAAAGAGGGGCCACAGCTTACTGCATGGACAGGATAGTACGTCTCCCACAGGGTCAGGGGCGCAGGGAGAGAATTCTGGGCCCTCTCCAGGGGACAAGAATTTGAACAGGAGAGGTGACCAGCACAGAAAGAGGCCCAAAGCACACTATGATATAGAAGTCATGGCCTGAGAGAGCCCCTGGTGGCCTGGCTCTGGGGTCTAGTCTCTCTCTTGTGGCCACACCCAGGTGCTCTCAAGTGGATCTAAGTATAACCCATGAGCTCAGCTGCCTCCCCCAGGAAGGCAAGGGCTGCTGTCCCTGTGGTCTGGGAAGTCCCTCCAGAGGGACCATTACTGAAAGGCCGGCTCAGCAGATCTACAGGGATCAAATCCGCATCCAGAATCATCAGGCCAGACCCAGCAGGCCCCGGCTGGGGGTGAAAGTGGCTCAGGCCAATACCTTTTGTCCCTGGAAGACACTCTGCAGCGGGGCCACCTCGCAGGCCTTGTGGACCCCAAACACCTTGCACATGGAGCATGTGGGCATCTCACACGTGAGGCAGTAGATGTTGATTTTCTCGTCTTCATGCTCCTTGCACATTGGGCTGCTGCCCTTCTGCAGAGGCCGACTGAAGTGGGCAAGAGTCATACGTCATGGGGTGGGGGTCCCGAGGCCCCGTCTCCAACCCAAGCTCCAATCACAGCTCCGCCCTAGATCTATGACTTGAGTTCTCAGTGGCTGGCTGTCCCTAATCCTTCTCTTTATATCCTCTGGGGACCCAGGACCAGGGAAGCCAATGACACCAAGGTTGTCCCTACATCCTAGGACTCAAACTCCGGGGATGGAATTGGCCCGGACAGGGGAAGGGTGGTAGAATCCCAGAGTCAGATCTGGAGACATTTTCAAGAAGAGGAAACTGGGCTCCAGGAAGGTGAATTGACTTGCCCAAGGTCGCCCAGCAAATCAGGGCAGGGGAGGCTAGAATTCATTTGCTCTAATTATAGTCACCATGGCTCTTGGTTTCTGCAGGCTGGGCTGTGAGTGAGGCAATTTATACTCATGGCCCCACTGAATTCTATATTTAATCCACCAGACTGTAGCCTCCATCAAAGCAAGCAAACTTGCCTATTCTCTTCATTCTGCAGTGTACAGTGCTTGGCACAGAAGAGGTGCTCATTAAATACAGGTAGAGAAAAATAAATAAATAAGCACACCATGAGGGTGTCCCAGGGCTCAGAGAAAGAAGCAGTGTGTGTGCCCTAAGTCCCACAGCTAGTGCACGGGCAGCTCAGGGCTGCCCAACAGCCCAGCACAAGCCTTAACTTCTAGTCCAGAGGTTCTTCCCAGGGCCCAATCTCTTCCTTCTCTTTCTTCCCAAACACATATTCTTAGAACGTCTTTCTCCCTTTGCCTCTCTCTCCACGTAGGGTCTCTGGCATGTTATCTATGATTTTCTCAGGAAATTTGTCACTTCCTACCTGAGATTCAACTTGGGAGCGGGGGGGGAGGGGGGGTGTCAAGGTCTTACCTCCCCAGCTAGACTATACACTCATTTAGAGCCAACACCATGTCTACACTACCTCTGATTTCCCAGCCTCTAATATAGTGGGCACCTCCCAAGTCCAGGCTTTAGCATCTGGGTTCGAATCCAGATTGTTCTGCATTTATTCATTCTGTGACCTTGGACAAGTGCTTTCACCTCTCTGAGCCTCGGTTTCTTCCCAGGGCTCCTGGGATCATGGCAACAGTTGTCTGTAATGAATGTGTTGAGCCTGGCACAGGGCAGACCCTCAACAAGGCGCCTATCCTTGTCATCCAGCTATGAGGAAAGGCCTTGAAGGGTTCAAACACAACATGGTCTTTATAGGGCGACACCGAGTGGGCTAATATTTTGGTGCCATGTTGATTTTATTATGATTATAATGATGAACAATACATTCACATTTTTGTAGTGTTGAGCCCTGGCAACCTGAGAGACAACAGCAGTTAGGAATGTTCATCATGGAGTCAGTCAGACAGGCTCCCTCTCAGTTTCACCACTTTTGTTTGTTTGTATTGTGTTTTTCAGTTTTACCACTTGAAAGCTGAGTGGCCTTGGATAAACTTGTGACCCTCTCTGAGCCTCCATTTCCTCATGCTAAAATGAGGGTAAGAATGTCTTACAGGATTACTGTGAGAATTAAATAGGGATAATGCGTGGAAAATACTTAGTACAGTGCCTACATACAGTAGGTGCTCAATTAATACTTGATATGTTTAACATTTCCCATCAAAATCCTGTTTCGATAGTCACAATAACAAATTTTACTGTCCCCTCTGCATACGGGACACGAAGGCCCAAAGACTTACCCAGGATCCTACAGCACATCAGTAATAGAGTCAGACTAGCAAACACACTTCCCCAGGCCAGGACTTTTNCCCCACCCCCACCAGCTTGAACGCTCACACCCTCGGATGATCCAGATCATAAGCAGTAAGCAGGAGGAAAACAAACTATATTTAAACTGGCAGTTGCTCCATAAACAGAGCTAAAAAACAAGTGACTCTTGGGAGAAAAACAGTAGAAACACTGGTGAAGACGAAGAGTCAATCCCCACAATACACTAAAGTTTTAAAAACAAGCAAAGGAAACAAAAAGCAATTCACAAAAGAATAAATGCCAATGTCCCCTCCCCACCAAACAGAAAGAAACAAAACAAGGTGCTTGTCCTCACGCATGTTAAAAATCTCATTAAAACCACAATAAAATCTGATTTTTCTTCTATCGGACAGACAAAATATTAAAGATTAATAATAGCCAAGGTTGGTGAAGGTGTAGGGCAATGGACACTGCTGCTACTCTTGGCCTTGGGGGTGGGGGTGCAATTTGACAAACTCAAATGTAAAATATTCATACATGTGACTCAGCAGTTATACTCTGAGTAATCTATCTTATCAGAAACCTAGAAGATGATGCCAAAAGATACAGGTAGTTAGCTAGCTAGAAATAGATAGATATTCAGATATTTAGGTCTATTTACATACAAGGATGTTTTTTGCAATATTGTTTGTAGTAGCAAAACTTTGGAAGCAACCCTAAACAATAGAACAAATAAATAAATTGTTGTGTGGTCACATAGCGAATACTATACAGCAATGAGAATGAACAAATCCAAGAGGTCTTCCTGAGCAAAGTATCATTTCTGTCCCATTTTAGCCCAAGACCATGAGCTCACTGGGTGTGTGTGTGGTTGTGGTGGGAGCGGGTGGTGAGGGGTGGGGGTGGTATCTGGAAGAAGGTGGAACAACTGGGGTAGGGAAAGTTGCCTCCCTCTGGTGTTAGGAGTCAGGATAGTGTTAACGTCGGTGTGGGGGGAGAGGGAGTTGGAAGCCGGTGTAAGCAGGGCTCCAAGGGTGCTAGTAATGATCTGCTCTTGACCTGGGTGTGGGTTATGCAGACCTACTCGCTTTGTGAAGATGCTTTGAACTGTACACATATGAATTGTGCACTGTTCTGAATGTGTATTACACTTAAAGAAAAAGCTTACTAAAAAATAAAGCAAAAACATACCCCAATAAGCATTCTGTGCATACATACATACNACGGGACACGAAGGCCCAAAGACTTACCCAGGATCCTACAGCACATCAGTAATAGAGTCAGACTAGCAAACACACTTCCCCAGGCCAGGACTTTTTCTCATTAGGACTGGTCTGTCGCCTTTCCTGGGGCAGAACTTGGTGATAATGTCTGTGATGTCCTGATTGGTAAAGATCTCTCTGGTAGTTATGTCTCTCTCCAGTTTGAGGCCAAACACTACACAACCTCCACCACTCACAAACTCTGCCTGAGACGGAGCTGCTACTCTACAATCCGGGAGACCAGGAGCCGGATCTCCACAGGGCCCACTCCCAGCGCTTCCACTTCCCAGCTGGGAAAACTTGGGTCATTCAGAGAGGACTTCACCTCTCTGAGCCTCAGCTTCTTCATCTGTGAAATGGGGGTGATAAACGTCATGCCTGATCCATAGGGTCGTTGTGAACCAGCAGGAGGAAGCGTTTACCAAACCTGGCGCTGTGCCTCCTGGCACATGGGACCATAGCAGTTGTTATGACTATAGAGAAACTGACTATGTTCTCACTGGGCGCTGTCTCTGCTTATCAGGGCCACTTAGCCGGCCCCAGGGCCTCTCTCTCTCCCTGTCATATCTCATCTTTCCCCTGGTTCCTATCTCAGTATTTTTCAGGAGGGCAGGCTGGGCCCCTTTCCACTCACTGAGTGACACGGAGGATCAGGGTTGGGGGTAGAGTTAGCCTCTGTTCCTGCGTCCCACTAGGGGACAGGATCCCAAGCAGATGAAGGAGGAAGAAGTCTGGAAAGCTGGGTACAGAATGGCTGAGGAGGAAGGACGGGCTCCCAGCAGCCGGGAAACTGACCTTGAGCACTCCTGCTTGTAGATGTCAATGATGTTCTCCACCAGCAGATTTCTCTGCAGGCCGTACACTCCGTGACGATCCATGATCACCTCATGGCGGCAGGAGGGGCAGCGGAAACGGCCTCCAGACATGGACATCGAGCCACCCCGGTTGGTCCAGTAGGGATTTGCGGCCTGTGGGTGGCAAGGGAGAGATGAGGCCTGCGCTCCCTCCTCAGCACCTGCCCTTTCTAATCTCCGATTATCTTTCCCGCTGCGTACCCCAACCATTTCTTTCAAACCACGTGACCTGGAGCCCCTATCCTGAGAGGAGAGGCAGCGTGCTTACACAGGGAGCACCTGAGAAGCAACTATGCAATCGACAGGTTTGGGAGTCAGCAGGCCTGGGTTCGAGTCGCAGTTATTCTCTGAATGACTTTGGGCAAGCAACCTTATGTCTCCACACCTCAGTTTGCCTGTTCATCAAATGGGCATTATAATTAGAGCCAGCTCCTAGGGCTGCTACTTTAAAGATCAAGTAGTGACAGGACATTTTTTAAAGTGCTTCTGGGGATCCTTGCGTCCCGCCTCCCAGCCAGGATATCCACTCTCACTCCTTTCTTAGGGAGATGGAGCCCCTCCTGCCCTACATTAGAGGGAACAGCCTGGAAAGGGAAGCTGCCTCTACTGCCTAGTGCCTCCGGGGCACCCTCCTCCTACAGCTCTGGGCCACCTGCCACCAGAGAGCTGGCTCCAGCCCCAGGGGTCTGGTTTCTCTCTCCTCTCTGCCTGCCTCCCTCACTTATCACTTGAGGCATTTGACTCCTGATTGAAGAGTCAACTGCGGTGCTCAGGGCAGAGGTGGCTGGTGGCGGAGCTGCAGGCAGGGTGGGGAGGAGAAATATGTGTCATGCAAAAGGAACGGGCAGCCAGAGCTGCTCCCCAGCCCCGCTCAGCCCTGTCCGGTGGCCTTTGCAGGGGCTGACTTTGCAGGGGAAAGAACCGGCCCAGTTTAGAAGAGTCCTGGCCAAAGAGAGATGAGCTTTCGTCACAGGAAAACTGAGCAGCCACCTGGGCCCCCAGGACTAGGCCATGCCCAGAACTAACCTGGAAGATGTCGTTGGCACACTTCCGGCAGAGGTTATGCTGACACGGCAGGATGACCACTGGCTTGGTAAACATCTCCAGGCAGATGGGACAGATTAACTGCTTCTCCAGGTTCTCCAGGGGGTTCCCATCCTGGATCAGGCTCGATTTATAATCCATACTGTTGGGAGGTATGGGGTTCACCTGGTTGCCTCCTTTACCTGCTTCTCTCTGAGTAGACCTGGGATCTTGCCTTTGTCACAAAACACCCGCCTGGAGCGTCCTGGTCTTCTCCTGTCGGCACACGAATTCTGTCTGGGTCTGAGGCCCCTCCGATATTTATAGCTGGACCCCGGTCACATGAGCCCCAGGAGGGGACCAGCTGAGCATTCCGGTGCCAGCGCGGCTGGCAGGGCTTGAGTTTCCTCCAGGCCTGCAAGACCGGCCTCTCAAATCACATGTAGGAATGAGCAATCGCTGTTCCCCTGGGATGGGGGTCGTAAACAAGAACAGCCTGTTCGTGGGCAGACTTGGGGGAGGACTGGGTACCCAGAGTTTCCTCCAGAAATGAGTCTCCTCCCACACCAGGCTAGTGGGCCAGGGATGGGACCCAGAGAATGGGCCACTGGGATTTGTGGGGTTAATAGCCAGGGTCCCCTCAATGACTATTATCAGGTCCATCCCTCCTCTGAGTCCTGGGCAGCCCCTCTCTCTGAGCCAATCCCTCTGCCTCAGACCTGAGCACAGCCTATTTCTGGAGACCTTGAGACCCCCACCCTGGCTAGCCTGTCCCTCCATCCCTTGCCCACTAATGTCACTTTAATGCTAAAAGGGCCCCCTTAAAACATAGTCCAATCCCCTCATTTTACAGATTTTGACATTGGAGTCAAATAAGGACTTTATTCAAAGTCAAAAAAAGTAAGTGGCAAAGCCAGGAATCTTATTCATTGATCAGATATTTTTCTGAGTGCTAACTATACATCAGGCACCAAGGTGACAGACAGACGAGTAATCCTTTTCTCTGCCCTCAAATGCTCACAGCCTCGGGAAAAAGAGACAGAAATAACTCAGTCCTACCTAGTCACTTAGAAGTTATCCAGATGCTTGCTCCCTTCTGCTCTCTGCACCAATTCAAATTTTTCTCCAGGTCCCTCTGGACATCTTCCATATCGGCAGGTAAAAGTCATGAGAGCAGTTCTGATGATTGTTTTTTAAGGTAGAATCTCATGCAAAGGGACTTAGAGCCACCAGATATACGGTGCTGGGGTGAGAGTGGGAGCAGTGACATCAGGGAGCAGTGGGAGCAGGCCTCAGGACGTGCCTAAGAGGGTACGGAACATACAGTAGGAGTGTCCAGGGTCTCAGGAAAGAGGGGTGGCAGGAGAGTAGGTTTGATGGCCTCAGTCTGGAGAGGAGATGATGTTCAGAGCCCTGAGACAAGA